GAGGCGGGAGGAAGGTTTGAAAGGGGTGTGGGGGGGCCGAGGATGCTGGGGGAGGCTCTGAGCTGCGGGAGTTTCACAGGACTCCAGCCTGAGGGAACTCTGGAGGGGACACAGAGCCGGGGGGGGGATGTGGGGGGCTCAGCTCTGCCTCTTCCAACTCCTGACACAGCCCCTCTGCCTGCTCAGGTTCTCACACATGATCCAGGACAAGGCCCTTCGCACCTCCTGGGCGAGGAAGATGAAGGAACGGCAGGAGAAGAAGCTCGTCCAGGACCTGGCGCGGCAGCTGGAGGAGGGGAAACGGAAAGAGCGAGAGGTAACGGGGCTCGGGACTTGGATTTTGGGCTCAGGACCCAGCAGGCAGCATCACGCAGCCCTTCCACTCCTGCTGTCTCCGTGGGGCAGCTTCTCTGGGCAGCAGGGGGGGGTTTGCTGGGGCGACCTCGAGGCCACATTGCAAAGTTGGGGCTTGAGCAGAGCCTTTCCACCTCTTTCCACACACAACTCCGTGTCTCTGCCCCTATCCCCACCGCCTGCGAGGGGGAATTCCCTGTCCTCCTGCCAAATCCGGGTTGTGACAGTCACTGAGTCGGAATAAACTCATTCAAGCCTGGTCTCAGGAGGGCTGGGAGGGGTGGAGATGGCTGCTGGCTTGGCTTTGTGCAGCAGATTTCATGCTTGGGCAAGTGTTGTTGATGCTACCGTAGCCCTTGTGGCTTCCTGAGCGGTGTCTGCATCAGCCACGGGGTTGATATGGGTCAATAAGGGTTTGGATTTAAGGCTGGGAGAGAGAGGGAGGGAAGGGATCCACAGGGAATGTTTTGGTGCTGCTCCCCCAGGAGAAGAAGCGACGGCGAGAGGAGAACCTGAAGCGGCGGCTGGAGAACGAGCGGAAGGCAGAGATTGTCCAAGTGGTGAGTTTTGGCACCACAGTGGCCTCCAGACCCCAGGAATTTGCCTCCAGTTTGCTCCTGTTCCTCTCCCTGGCTCCTCCTTTGAAGGATATTGGGGGGAGTGGGGAAATCCAACCAAACCCAATTGCACCAGGAGGGTGTCTCCTCTGCCAAACAGGCAGATGATGCCCTGTGGGGTGGGCTGGGGGGGGGGAAACTTCTCTTTCAAGCTTGAGGAAAGCAGGGAGGGGGTCACCCTGGGGGGATAGGACAAGGGAAACTGGGTATTGATGGGGATTTCTTGGGGGGAAGAGACCATCTGGAAGGGTGGTGAGGACCTTCACAGCCACACAGTGGTGGCAAGACGGGGTTGTCACCTGCACCCTCTGACACAGGAGCTGGGGGAACTTGGAGAGATTCCAAGGGAGGAGTTTTAGGATAAATCTGATCAGGAAATGGATGGCTCCATGGACAGAATTTGGTTGTTGAGGAAGAAGATCCCATCCCTGGGATGGTCCTGATGGACAACAGGATGCCCAGGAGCCAGCAATGGGCCCTGGTGGCCAAGAAGGCCAATGGCATCCTGGGGGGCATCAGGAAGAGTGTGAGCAGCAGGTGGAGGGAGGTCATCCTGCCCCTCTGCTCTGCCCTGGGGAGGCCCCATCTGGAGCACTGGGACCAGTTCTGGGCTCCCCAGTTCCAGAAGGACAGGGAACTGCTGGAGAGGGGACAGCAGAGGCTACAAAGATGATGAGGGGCCTGGAGCATCTCTCTGCTGAGGAGAGGCTGAGGGACTTGGGGCTTTTTAGTCTGGAGAAGAGAAGGCTGAGGGGGGATCTGATCAACACCTATAAATACTGAAAGGGTGGGTGTCAGGAGGATGGGGCCAGGCTTTTTCCAGGGGTGCCCTGTGATAGGACAAGAGGAAATGGGCACAAACTTGAGTATAAGAAGTTCCATCTCAACATGAGGAGGAACTTCTTGACTTTGAGGGTGGCAGAGCCCTGGCAGAGGCTGCCCAGAGAGGTGGTGGAGTCTCCTTCTCTGGAGACATTCAAACCCCACCTGGCCACGTTCCTGTGGGACCTGCTCTGGGTGGTCTTCTGGGAGCTTCCCCCCTTCCCCAGCACGGTCTCTGCTCCTAACCCCCCCTTTTTTTTCCAATCCCCCCCTTCCAGATCCGGAACCCGCTGAAGCTCAAACGGGCCAAGAAGAAGCAGCTGCGGCGGGTGGAGAAGCGGGACACGCTGGCCCTGCTCCAGAAGACACCCGTGCGGCGCAAAGCGGCCACTGAGTGAGATGGGGCCACCAGCCCCGGGGGTTCTGTGGGTCCCCCTCCTCTCCAGGGACATTTCTTGGCCTCGGTGGGGAGGAGTCACTGCCCGGGGCCACCGGTGTTGGACAGACAGAAGGACAAAACTGCGGCGTGACCCTCAGGAACCTGCAGCTGGATGCCACCCCCCTGCCCTGTGAAATCCAGGGGGCTGGAAGAACTGCTTTACTTGCCCAAATCTGCTTTTTCTTGATAAAAATGAGTAGGAACTGACCCAAACTCACCTCCAACAGCTCGGGGGGGGCGCTGGGGCCTTCCCTCTCTCCAAAGCAGAGCTCCCATGGCCTTCCTGAGGTCACAGAGTGTGGTGGCCCCATGCCCCCCAAGACTCCCCTTCCTTCA